CCAGCTCAGGATTTCCCAAGGGCAGCACTGGGCCTGCTGAAGAAAGCCATTCTGCAATTGCTATTGAACGGTCAAGTTAGAGCAAATCCTTCAGGCTTAATCTTTGATAAATTAAATTCTTAACCGCTGATAAGCCACTTAAGCATTTCTATAAACCGCTGTTTGCTTGTGTTGGCGGTTCCGCAGGAGGATTTCTACTGGTTGTCCCCTGGCACTTCCCAGTCTTCAAAGAGTGGTCTGTGTTGATATGAATGTTCATTCTGGGGCTGCATTTCTCCCTGGTCATGACAACTGGGTCTTCGTGGGATGATGCATGGGTACCTGCGGTTCTGCCATCAGTGGAAAGGCGCTTGAAAGTGCTCAGTGCTTAGTCTCGGGATTGTTCCTAGAAACCTTTCCCACGGCTATGAAGGGGTTAACTCCCGAGCTACTGCCACTTGCAAAGTGTAATCAGGATGGGTCTCTAGGCAGTAACCCTGCTGCAAACATCCTCTCACCTCCTTACCCTGGAGTTCACATGGCCCCAGGAAACCACTCTCTACAGAGCAGCAGTGTGTGGTGGCAGTCAGGGAACTCAGGAAAAGTCCATGTGGGGTGGGAGTGGGGCTTGATATAGTCAGAACAAGAGCTGCAGAGGCAGAACAGATTTTAAAAAGGGACAGTCACTTAATTTTATGTACAATTTTTTATTAAAGAAAAAGTCACTTTGGACATTTGCAGGGATTTTCACACTGCATGTTGGAGTTGTGGATACACAGGGGTTACCATTAAAAGGCCAATACTCAGGAATTGCTGCACTCCCTCAATACTACATTAGAAAACACTGACTATTTAAATAGAGACACCTCCCCTCCAAGCACCATACCCCTCTGCATTGGCCATCAGCAGGGAGCACAGAACCAGGAATCTTAAAGCATGTGCCTCTACTTGCCTGAGCTAATAGACTTATGTCCATTAGCCAAGGGTGTAACAGGCTCATCAACCATTAGAGGGGGACAGAGCACCATTCTGAGTGGGTGTAGGTTACATGAACAGGAGTTGTAATTTCCTCTAGAAATAAGCAGCCCGATTGACTGTAAATTATTACAAAGAAGCTTGCAGGTATCCTACTGTTTCTTTCAGACTGGGTTTTTATACTGAGTTTAATTTATTAAAACCAACTGGAGAGGCAACTACATACTTTCCTATTATTGGCGTAGTGGAATAAAAGGTTTTGCCTAGAAATTAATTTACTTATTACATTTCCCATTCTGGGAGCTGGCATCCCTGTGGAAATCTCTGATCTTTTCCCAGGGGCTTCTGAGAAACAAGCCCAGAGGAAATGAAAAGTGGAAAAATTTTCTTTTCCCCCAGAGTTGTTTTCACTTCAGCTTCGTCCATTGCACACTGAAAAGCTCTTCAGTTTGCATGAGGTCAAAGCGAATTAAGCCAGAGTACAAGGAGGAAGAAAAAGAGGGAGTGGATTTTCCCAACACCTGTTATCTCCAAGGGAGGCCCCAAACAACTTTCTGTCCCTTAGCAGAGGTACAGCAGGACAAACATCAAAAAACTCTGTCAGAGATGCAAGCAGCAGAGTGTGACCTGTTCCACTGTGCACTGTAATGCTAATGGAATTGTACTGTGATTTCACTGATCGATTGCACACAAATCACTTTGCTCACCACTGAAGCGCAGGCATTTGGACCTTGTCTGTACTGCGGGAGGTCGATGTGTTACACAGTTTCAGCCACATGAATAATGTGGCTGAAATTTACGTACTTAGGTCTGCTCCCCATGGTATCTTAGCTGCAGTCAGTCAACAGCTGAAGCTCTCTCGTCTACTCTTATTCTTCTTATCTTAGGGGAGTACAGGAGTCACCAGGAGAGTGCTCGGCCATCGATTTATCGTGTCTATACTAGATGCAATAAATTGATTCCTACTAGATCAATTGCTGCCCGTCAATTCAGCCCATCGTGACGACATACCCAAAGTCCACTCTGGGGTGGAGCATGGCAGGTGTTTAAAAATGCACAGTAACTGCACAATGGGTTAGAGGGGCAGATATTAATCCACAATTTGGAATGTAGCTAGTATAGGGTAAACACTCCTACTCTTGCAGTATCACAAAGACATTAACAGATACAACTAGCCAGGATCTTGGTTTAATCTCTCCTCAGAAAGGTGGCAGCTCACATACTGAACTTCCAAAACTGCTTCCTACAACTCCCGGGTCTTCCCCGAGTAGTCTAACTCTCTGGGACTTTGGTCAGTATTGCTTAGCTGTGACTTTTGGAGGTGCTAGGGTGTCACATGCTGTAAGACACCTTAGAACTGAAGAGTCAGGGTATATGTAGTAGGTCCGTCTAACAGAAGTTAAGTTGTGATTAACTCAAAATAATCAATCATCATTAAAAATATTCATTGCAACGAATCGCAGTTTTAATCACACTGTTACACAATAACATACCAAGTGAAGTTTATTAAGTATTTTTGGATGTGTTCCTATATTTTCAAATGTGTTGATTTCAACTACAACACAGAATACAAAGTGTACAATTATCATTTTATATTACTTTTTATTACAGATGTTTGCACTCTTAAAATGATAAACAAAAGAAATTGTATTTTTCAATTCATCTCATACAAGTACTGTCGTGAATTTCACTGGGAAATGGCAATTTACAAATTTAGAATGTTTTTGTTACATAACTGCACTCAAAAACAAAACAAGGTAAAACTTTAGAGCCTACAGTCCATTCACTCCCACTTCTCATTCAGCCAACTGCAAAGACAAACAAGATTGTTTACATTGATGGGAGATATTGCTGCCTGCTTATTATTTACAATGTCACCTGAAATTGAGAACAAGTATTTGCATGGCACTTTTGTTGCCAGCATTGCAAGGTATCTACATGCCAGATATGCTAAACATTCATGTGCCCCTTCATGCTTTGGCCACCATTCCAGAGGATATGCTTCCATGCTGATGATGCTTGTTTAAAAAAATAACTCAGTATTTAAATTTGTGACTGAACTCCTTAGGGGAGATTTGTATATCTGCTGCTCAGTTTTATGCACATCCTGCCATGTATTTCATGGGATAGTCTCTGATAATGATCCAGCACATGTTGTTTAAGAACGTGTTCACTGCAGATCTGACAGAAGACAAAGAAGGTACCAATGTGAGATTTCTAAAGACAGCGGCAGCACTTGACCCAAAGTGTAAGATTCTGAAGCGCGATCCAAAATCTAAGAGGGACAAGTATGGCGCACTCAGTCAGAAGTCTTAAAAAAGAGCAAAACTCTAATGTGAAATGACAGAACCTGAACCTCAGGAAAAAAAATCAAAACTTTTTACTGGTGGCAAAATAAATGCGCATCAATACACACTACTTTGGCTTGTTATCAAGCAGAACCTGTTACCACCAGGAGCAGTGGGTGAGCCCACAGGTTGGAGAGGCAAGCCCCCCAGCCTTGCCCCTTCTGCCTGAGGTCCCGCTCCTTTTGTGGCCACCAGAGCCCAGCCCCTTGCCCACTGCTGGCCCTGCTCAGGATAGCTAGCACCTCTAGCCTGGGATAGTGCAGCCTCAGCCTATCCTGGCCCCAGGGAACCGGTGGGTGGCACAGTTGCAAGACTGCCCCAGAGCTCTGAGGAGCTGGCGGGTGACACAACCACAGACACCCTGAGCCGTGCCTGCTGGATGGGCCGCCGACCATGAAGCACTCCCCTCCCCCTCGCAGCTGAACCACTAGCTCCAGCATCAGGAGGACAGGTGGCACAGTGCAGACCTATGCCTGCCTACCTAACCTTTGGCACTGGAACAACAGGACAGTTGCAAGACTGCCCCAGAGCTCTGAGGAGCTGGCGGGTGACACAACCACAGACACCCTGAGCCGTGCCTGCTGGATGGGCCGCCGACCATGAAGCACTCCCCTCCCCCTCACAGCTGAACCACTAGCTCCAGCATCAGGAGGACAGGTGGCACAGTACAGACCTAAGCCTGCCTACCTAGCCTTTGGCACTGGAACAACAGACTGAAAGGAGGGGTCCGTGAGACTCCAGTGGAGCATGAGCAGGACCATTGACATGTGTCCTCTGGAATGATGGTTGACGCATGAAGGGACAGACAAATCTTTAGGCATTTAGTACATAACTATCTTGTGATGCTGTCAACAATAGGACCACATGAAAATCTGTTGTCACTTGCAGGTGACAAAGTAAACAAAAAGCAGGCTGCATTATTGCCTGCAAACTTGTCTGAGCCATTGGCTGAAGGAGAAGTAAGACTGAGTGGACTTATAAGCTCTCATGTTTTACATTGTTTTATTTTTGAATGCAGATTTATTTTACATATGTCTATATTTGTAAATTCAACTTTCATGATAAAGAGATTGCACTACAGTACTTGCACTGGGAGAACTGAAAAATACTTTTTTCTTGTGTTTTCTAGTGCAAATATTTGTAATAAAAATAAATGGAGCACTGTAGACTTTACATTCTGTGTCATAAATAAAATAAATAGATTTGAAAATGTAGAAGAAATATATGGCCTTCTATTACTGTTTAACAGCATGATTAATCACGTTACCTTTTGTAATCCTTTGATGTATCCATATCTAAAAATTAGGGACATCAATGCTATTTTCAGCTATCTGTGCATTTCCTTCAGCAAGTCCATTCCCAAACAAGGCCCCTCTAAATCTAAGCACTAACATGGGGAGAAATCCCAAGTTCCTTGCTCAATTTATACTCTGGCAAGCTCTCAGTGATTTTCTTGAATATAGTCTCCTTAAACTATGAAGGGAGTCAAGAATTTAAGCCAGTTATCATTAGCATAAAAAACATGATCTGTTCTAGAGCTTTACAATTAAATCCCTTAAATATTGTAATGGCTGAAGGGAGAGGAAAAAGAAAAAAAATCAAGACAGGCAAAAAGCATGAAGGCTGATGGAAAAAGACAGTGTGAAACCTGAGGCGTAGTTTAGAAGCAAGTAAAATAAAACAGAATGGCAGAGTTACCGGGTAGCCATCTCGTCCTGACTGCCCCTGTGCAGAGTGAATAAGAGCAAGATAACAAGAAAAAGTCAGTCACAGTCGTACTCTCAGCAACATGACAACACACTGCAATATGTGAAACTCAGAGCCTGACCCACCCACAGGGCTTAATCCCTGTAGAACCTTTGGCAGCCAGCAGGAGGCGTAAGAATATAGCAATATATATAACAGGAGCTTTTCCCACTGGAGGAGAAACTGACACAGGTGTGAATCAAATACAACTCGCTCTACCTTTCCGTTGTTTTTGACTTTTTGTATAAATGTTGCTACTTACCAAGGGCTTTGTTCCCACATGGCCATCCCCTCCTCTTATGCAATCCTGTGGTGGAGTCAGGTACATACTGTGAGGCCCTGCCACAGGCCAGGAGAAGTAATGAGCAACATAATTCTGCATGATACGGAGGTGCCTTGGCATGGTGCCCCCTCTGGGTTGGGCTTAGGGACCTTTTTAGAGAAGATCAATGGGAAGAAGCAGGAGAAGCCCTGATGCTGTGTGTCTGTGTGAATGGCTCTTTCTCTCCCGGTCTGCAATGATCTCAGGTGAATCTCTGGGAGTAGGAGCCCAGTCTGTAACCTGGGTCTCAGCCAGCAGCATGGGGGACAAACCCTGAGCCCCACCTTTGGGAATTTCACCTCTCCACATGCCCCTTCCCTTGGTTTTTCCAACGGGAGGAAGCAATTTCCCAACCCCACTCACGGTTCTGCATCTGTTTAGGGTGAAACTAAAATAGAATCTGGACTCTACACAGAAAAGATCGTATTTAATCATCCAGATCTGCAACATCAGCAAAGGGAAACAAAACACAGCTGGCCAAGGACACTTCTCATTTTCTATTCCGCTTGTTTTAGAAAGGGGTGCTTGCAGCTAGGTATACATTAAACACATTGATAGCTTCCCACCTGACTATGCCAACAAGTGATGAATGCTGTAAACAGCAAGTCACACAGAACTATGGAGCTGTTATATTTCAGGATAGTATGTGGTACAGCAATATCATGTGTCACTGTATACTCATAGTTTACCGGCATGGTGTTATACAACGGTAGGTGCATTCATACATTTCTTATTATATCAACTTTCTCTGTTTTCTCTTTCCTATAGTCTACTCTTGAGACACAGCAGTATTTAACACACACGCAAGAGAAATGTAGGTTCTTCCAGAAGCAAGAACTTAATTACTATAGCAACTCATTTAACAAATCATAGTCTTCAGATAAAATATATAGGGAAATTTTTATGAAGGTTTATGGTACCAGACAACTGAAGCATAAAATATATGAGGAGGAAATACTGAGTAAATCATAATCTCATTTATTGGTAAGTTTCCATGGTCTGTACCTTAATACATAAAGTGTTTGTTAATATCTGTTATGGTAAATGGTAAATTATAACGTATGGTAAATCTGCCCTTCAGATTGCAGAAATTTTCTACTCAGCATGTGATTTTAATATCCTTTGTAACCAAGTCTTTATAGAGTATTTGACTAGCACACTCCTTATTTTACAGACAGAATGATCAATCATGTAACAGACCTGAATGCTGTACCGCAAATTCTAATACTTCAAATAGGCAACTAACTTATGACAGCCAAAAATAAAACACCAGAACAACTACTTACTAGTGGTCCACATAATTGAGAATGCATTTTTAGCATAATGTGACGCTGTATGTATAGAATGTAATCAGTTCCTTATGGCCAAAAATCAAGTAACATAGGAAAAGTAATAGACTTAAATGCAATGCTGCTGAAATAAAATAACATTGTGTTTCTGTGGGTTTTACGACTTAATAAAAAAAAAAGAGTTGAAAGAGTCTTTGTCAAGAGCTGTAGTTTAAGCCACAGATTTAGGGCGTGTCAAGAGACGTGTTACAAAATAAAATGTTTTAACAATTTCTAAATGGGTGTGGTAGGAGGGGCTGCCTGACATGGTTGCTGGCCTACCCATGAGGAGGAAATTTCTGTCTCCAGAGTCCACAGAAGTGGGATGCGGCCCATCAGTTAATTGTTCCTTCAGTTTTAACGCCTTTGGGGGCAACTGGAAGGGCTCAGCCTTGGAACATTTTAATGTAAAAAATTGGGTTGTCAGGTGTTCGGTATTCACCCGGACAGTCCAATATTTGCAGGCTCCGTACGGTTTATAAAAACAAAAAACAAAAAACACACACCAGGAAATACTGGACATGTGAAATGTCCAGTATTTCCTGTTTCACTCGGACGGAAGCCGAGCAGGGACAATTCTCCCCTGCTGCGTCTGGCGGGGGCAGGGGAGTGAGGAGTGCAGCAGAGTCATAGCAAAGGGGGGGCAGTAGGGAGCACCTGCCGGGCACCACTCCAGAGGGTGGGAGTGGAATGCACGCTGCTCTGGCCCACGTGACCAGCAGAAACCCGGGAGCTGGCCATGTGATGCCTCCCTCTACACAATGTGAGCCGAGGCAGCCAGGCTGGGTGGCAGGAGCAGCGACTTTAAAAGTAAGATTAACTTACCCAGCTGTCCCGTTCCTCCGGTGCCTGGCTCTGTGGGGGGGGAAGGGAGAGGAAGGATTTGATTGGGGCGGGGTGCTCCTGGAGCTCGGGATGCCTGGCTCAGGGGGAGGGGTGAGTGCATTGGGATGGGTGGGAGGTGCTAGGGGAGGTCTGGGTCTGAGACAGGGGTGCATGCATTGGGATGGGGGAGCGCTAGGAGTGCCTGGCTCTGGGGAAGGGGTGGGTGCATTGGGGATTAGTGTGTAGCCTGAAACTGGAGGGAGTGGTGCAACTTTTGCTTAACAACTTTTGTCTCCCTCCCCCCCCCCGTTTTTTTTCCCTCGACAGAATTTTTTCCTGGTGTTCTTTTTTGGGGGAGGGGAGTTGTTCGGTATTTTTGGTTAAACCATCTGGCAACTCTAGTGAAAAAGGGAAAATCAACTCATTACTGGACCATCTCTAATCTGCCCATGGGGAGTCCCTGCCTGACCTGTCCTTTGGGCTTGGCTCCTATGTAGTCTCCTAGTAGAGCATTACTATCTCCCGGGGCTAACTGCTCCTCACCAGGGGCTACTTCACTTAACAGACTTTGCCAGCAAAGCTCCATTTGGCCAAGAGTCAGAGCTCCATCCTTCTTCTTGGCCAGTCAGCCCTGGACTGGGCCAGTTTCTCTCCTCCTTCAGGTATGGGAGCAGGGCTAGTTGGCCCTTCTCTGCTGGCATGGGGCCTCTCTGGCTCATCACAACCTTCCCCCATGCCATGCAGTGTTTGCAGTTCAACCCTGCGTGGTGGTAACCAGCAAATCAAAGCACTTAGAGACCAAAAGAAAATGTTTGTCTGAGCTATATCAGATAAACAAAAGCCAACAGTGATATTTCAGGCCCCGATCCAGGAATTGACAGGATTCAGGCAGATTGTGCTAGCAACTTCAGGAGTGAAACCTAGCTTGATAAAATATTTACTTTTAATAATTCCAGGCCCTGTAAGCAACAAATGCATGGAAATAAAGTAGACAGGGGATTGGATGCAGATAATCTTTTTAACGTTTACCTACAAATCATCATCATCTTTCTGAATTTCAATCAAAATCAAATAATTTCATACATTGCAGAACACCAATTTAATTCATAGGGCACCTTAGTTATTCTGGGAAAACCACCCAATATATACCATGCCAAGCTCTATGGGGTTAAATTCTTCTGGTGTAAATCCAGAGTAGAATGCTTCTAAGATGGAGTCTTATTATGGCTCTAGTAGGTCAGTGTGTAAACTGTGTATAATGATCTTGCTGAAGCTGCAAAATTTTGTGCATAGCAGGGTGGCTCAGAAGCCAATACCCAGCCCGACCCAGTGCCAAGTAATCTGGAATAAATCACTTGCTTCTACATTGTTTTTCCCCCAATAAACGTCCCCTCGCTAGTATCATGGAGACCCTTACACTCATTATTCTCTGTGGAGAAACAGACTGTGCTTAACTTTTTAATTAGAAAATATTTACAAGAAAAATTATTTCACTGACTGACTAAATTCCCAAATACCAGTGAATTGGGAAAAATTCATTTGCCTCAGCTTTTGCAGACAGATTCCCCCAGCACGACTTGCTGCTAAGGAGGTGCCCAACTTTTATCATAGAACGTGAGCAAGGGTGGAGTTTCGGGAGAGCAGAGGGGCAGCAGTTGTGCATACGGGGATGCTTGCTTTTCATCCTGGTCCCCTGATGACAAGGGAGTGAGAGGAAAGTACAGGCTGAAACTCTCTTAACTGGGATTCTCTTGCACAGCAACATTCACGGTCTGGCACGGAAGCTGCAGGACCAGAGTGTCCTGGTGAGGACCAGTGGCAAGGATCCCTGCGGGGCTGGCAGGGCAGTGGGCTGCCCACAGTGAGCCCACCGTCAGCGCAGGGCAGCCGGTCTGCCTAATGGGGTTAGGAGACATGTGTGGCTGCCTGGCAGGGCTGGGAGCTGTGGTAGCTCGGTGGGGCAGGGATCTGCGGTGCACAGCTGCCCGGCAGGTCCCGGAGCTCCAGCGCGGTACGTGCAGCTTCCTGGCAAGGCGCGTGCAGTAGCCCGGAGCCAGGGGAGCAATGGCTGCCCAGTGGGGTCAGTAGGGCAGAGGGGCCAGCAGGAGGTGAGGAGACAGCTGGGAGGCTAGCAGGCCGGGTGAGGGGCCTGGCAGCAGGTTTTCCAGAAATGACCTCCTCTGGTCCGGAAAAATTCCTCATCCGGACCTGTCAGGTCCTCAGGGTGCCAGACCAGGGAGATCCAACCTGCATTTGGATTCTGTGAACTACTCCTCTTCCCCCTCCCTTCAGCAGCCAAGAATGAGAGGCACAGAGGGAACCTACGTACTTCCCCCTCCCTCCCTTATCAGGGGAACGGGAAGAAAAGCAAGCCCCGTCTCAGTATATACGGCTGCTAGCCCCTCCACTGTCCCACATGCCATCCTTGAAAGTGTGCCTGGGTGGAGTTTCAGACAAGCCCCATTTCCCTCCCTTCAAGGGGTTATCAGTCAACATCCTCGTTCAATGCACACGCTTCTATGATTCCCACTCAAAACCAAGCTGACACAACAGTTTTGCCCAAGAGTCTCTATGTTTTCAGATTCAAAAATGAACCTGAAAGAAAAATGAAACCTGAAGGGACAAAACTGCACATTAAGTCCAAGTTTAAACACAAAATATTGTTCAGACCCACATGAACCAACAGTGTTGAGTTTTACAGTCTTAACATTTTACTTGTGTTTCATCATCAATTCCAAGCTTTAAATGGTATATATAGACCTGGAGATTAACTAGAGCAAAAGATGGTTTATTAGTGAACTGCAGAGATTACTAGAATAACTCCCTCCCAGTCCTCAGGCCTTGGCAGGAAGGGAATGGTATTTGAGGAAATGGACACTGACATTATATTGCTCACCAAGGAAAGGAAATGTAAGAGTGTACAGAGGTGGTCCCTCACACCCACCTGTGTCTGTCTTTCTGATTTACGGAGCCAGTGTTTTGTCCGTGTCCTCCTCTTAATTCAGGGGTGTTCGCTGGTGCCGCTCCTAGGCACTATCGCTTTCCCAGGTCTGGAAATGCGGGGTAGAGCCCTCTCTCATAGGTGCCGCTCCTAGGCACTATCGCTTTCCCAGTCTGGAAATGCGGGGTAGAGGGCCTGGGCCTGCCCTCTCTCATGGGCCCTAGCCCAGGGCCCTTAGGACAGGCTCTCTGTGCCCTGTCCGGCTGGTGGGGTCTTAGCCCAAAACTCACTGGCCCGCCGGCCTTATCTCCAGGCCCTGCCCTGGGCTACTTCCTACCACGCTAATCCCTTCCAGCTCGCTCACCTTTCGACCTCTCTCCACTCCTGTCCCCCCTTGTTTCCTGTTCCGCTCCGACCGTTTAGCTTCCCCACCTCCCCCTGCGCTGCCTGACGTCACCCATCGACTCCGGGTATGTGCTGAGCGTCCTCCCGCCCTGCATGTACTCCAGCGTTTGGCCCACGTCCTTGGCCGGCCCCACTTCCACCCATCAGCTGGGCTGCGGCTGATGAGCAGCGGGCGCAAACCGCTCGCGGTTCTCGGCCACTTCCCAGGAGCGTGAGTGCTACCGCAGGGTCAGTGCAGGGTGGATTGGCTCCCGCTGGGCGGAGGAGATCTGCTCCGTCACAAAGAGGCTATAAGGGAAGGACTTTCAAAAGTTGTGGAAGGTTTTAAATATCTTTCAGTGACTTTCAGAAAGTCAATGGAAGGTGGTTGGCGCCTAATTCCCTTAAATTTATTTGAAAACCCCACTGATGATAGCATTTAACTGGTGCCAGTGAGGCTAACTTCTCACCTCAAGAGCACTGGGAGAAAAACAGATTTGGAGATTTCATTGGAGGGGATAACAATGGATGTGTCGGAAAGTTTTCTTAAGAGGAGGGATTAGCACATATTCAATAACCATTCCTGCCAACAATGCATGCACCATAAAGGTTCTGGTCATGCAAGAGGGATGTTTATTACTCACCAAACAGCTCCGGAGAGAGAACAAAGCTATACATTTTTCTGGCCGAATCACAGCCGTGTGGGGCTATCGCTAATGACATGCAGTCTCAACTGTCTGAGACGCAAGAGATGGGAAAAGCGAGATGGACAGTTTTCAAATTTAAAACATCAAAACATTAAAATATGAATAAAGTGTACACATTTTTTGAGCATGGAGACTGACCAAAGAACTCTTTAAAAAAAGAGAACTATGTTTTTACAGAATATTTGCTGGGTTTTAAATTACCACAGTTTCCTTAGGGCAGCAAGTTAAGCATTTTTAAAGCTTTTTTTTTTTTTAAAGTAGTTGTCTATAATCAAGAGGGGGAGGGGAGAAAAAAGAGCAGCATCTGGTACCAATTTTCCTTCCATGCACACCTCTATGAAAAAAGGTTATTCTTGTGAAATGATACAGAAGGAGAAAAAAAATTGCCTTAACTTTGTTGAGCCAAGAGTAAAATCCACGGTACTTACAGCAGGTCCTGAAAAACAAAAACAAACCCCAAACACTTATTAACCAAAGAAAGAAAAGTATCATTCAATACAACACAGTAGGTGGCAGGGAAGGCCAGGAAGTCAGAGCAATATTTCTAGTTTGCATCAAGTTGGACGGCTTTCCACGAGTAGCTAAAACACTGCATCTACAGCCCAGTTTTGGAGCGGGCATTACACAGTTGTACATGCGAACACGCTCACGCTAGGATAGAACTGAATCTTCATCTCTAGCACGGGAGCCTTGCGCAAGGCACAGAGCTAGCAAGAGCTGTAGAGCTAAAATCTGTTCTCCACTTTGCTGTCTGGTAGTAGGAGGCCAGGTCGATATTACAGGCTTCTGTAGGCAGAGCTATGTCACTCATGGGATGAGTGGTGGGGGACCCCTGACCAACACAGCTGTGCCGGCAAAAGCCCCTAGTGTAGATGCAGTTATGAAGGCAAAGCCGCATTTCTGATGGGCTAGCTCATTTCACTGGAAGGGGGGGTGGAGGAAGGTTAGGGTGTCACTAAGATAAACTGTATCCCCATGAGGAGTGTGTTGTTGCTACAGTACATCAGTATACCCACCCCAGCCTAGTGCTCCTAGTGTAGACCTGGCCTGGGGAAGGGAGCTACGGAATCATAGCAACTTACCAGCACAAATTCCACCCCTACTGAATGTCTGTGTAGCATATTTCTCCTTCTCATCTCCATGTTTCACTAAACAGTCGCCTGACTCCCAGTCCTATGCTGAACCTAACCACTAGGTAATGCTGCCACCGCTAACTTACAGTGCCCTGTGAGGGGAATATGCTGCACCAATCACAGGGCCTGAAACAAAGGTAACTGAAATCAAAAGTAAGACTCCTCTTGAGTGGGTTTTATCTCAGGCCCACAGAACTTAGGTTTCAAGTGCTGATACTGGGAAGGGGGAACATGCTGCATAAGCATCTCTACCATGCAGCTGCCCACCCCACCCCAATTTCTGCAGCGCCCCCACAATCCCAACCCCTGCGGCAGAGGTGAACATTTGAGCTGTGGACCAATCACATCCATCTTCCACTCTTGTTTGGGAAGCTTTTTACACTGTGTGTTTTGGGGCCTCTTCATGCTCCATTTCCTCCATGATCAAAACCAGAAATGGAGTCAATGAAAAATAAATGTGGGAGAAATTAAAATAGAAAAAAAAGAAGCTTACTGGAAACTCAATTTTAAATGAGAAGCATATTTCTGTTTATGAGTCTTTTCAAGCTCACAATTCTTTAAAACATCTAAGTGTTTAAAAATGAAGTAACAGAAACCAAATCATCATGCAGAATTAGGATCCAAACCAACTATTTATTATGGCTCTGGGTACATACTACCTGGAACTGACCTGTTAGCATCAATAGACCAGTTCAATTAATTCAGCACAAGACCTGGTCGCCTGTGGGCTTGACCATGGAGAATTCACTGGGGGCTGTGAATGCTGCAGGTGATAGATAAGAAGGACACACACCTAAAGCTGAATTTGTTACTAGAGCAACGCAATCTCTTTCAGAATCGGGACCACTATCTTCACCTTAGGATATGTATGTGGTTGTTACTGCACTTTCACAGATTTTTCTTCTTATGACCAGATCCTAAGCTGTTGTACATTGGCATGGCTCCATTGAACTCAGTGGACCTAAGCCAATTTGCCAGCAGAGAATCTGGCTCTTAACGCAAACTTGATTTATTAACTAATTTCTACCAGTTCACCCACATAAGGCCTCTTTTCATCTTAATGAGCACCAAACTAAGTGACGTGTGGTCAGGACATTTTAACATGGGATTGCGATGACATATCTAATTGCTTTAGACTGTTGACTTTTTCAGACACTGTCCTTCAAACATATGCAAACTAGGATATCTGATCAGTCACGTGCTCTTATAAAAGGCCTCTGCTTTGGTTATGAGGTTCAATCAAACCATATGGATTGCTGTGGATTTTTTAAACATGCAGTTCACCAAGAGCAGCAGTACCTTGCTGTCCTAACTGCTATCAGAGTTACGTCGGCCTTTTACTGATAAAGAGCAGAATTTGGCTAGAAACTTTCATTACAGCTAAAAGTTATAGGAGTCCTTTAAGGGTTCTATGAATGAACCAAATTTGATTAAGCAAAAATACCGACGAAGAAAAACATAATTCTGACTTGCTCACTGTTTTTCACAGACCAGTCATGAGACACTTGTCTGCTACAAAAAAAAGTCATTTTTTAAATCAAGGCAATAAGCAAAGAAGTTAGCGATGTGCTCCATTCCTCAGAGGCAAGCACACTGCATGAAGCGCTCTCCCTTTCGGAGAAATTTGCCAAAATTATGAATAATAAAGTTGAGTAGTGAGAATTACTTTCAGTGTTCTACAGACAGAATAAAACCGCTTGGAAATTATTATTATTATTATAACAAGTAAAAATTGGAAACAGCCTTTGTAAATTTGGGACTCCATAACAAATTACTTTGGAGGCATAGTTTAGAAAGGAAAATGGGAAGACAAAATAACCTACGGAACAAAGTCTGAGCTGTTTCTGACAGATTCCCCATTAACAAACATAGCTATGGCAGAATGCCATTCTTATCTATAACCTGCAGCATTTATTACTGCTAGTTTTAAACAAGTCCTATAATGATGGTTTTACATTTAATAACAGAACTCTAACTGCATATAAAAGTATTTGAAAATGCTCACAGGCGCACAAAGGTGGTTATGTTGGGTGAAGATGAAGTCAGATTAGTTAGTTGACAATCCAGTTTTAGTTATTTATTGTAACAACTATGGTAGTGGCTAAAAGCCTACCTGAATGGGGCATATGGTGCTGGGCACTGTGCGAAGATATGGTAAGGGAGAACCCCAGGCTCAAAGAATTTACAATCTTTTGATTTCATTATTTTTGCAGGAGGGGGACTTTGGAATGAGTCCCCAAAATTGTAAAAACTGGGCCAGAGCCAGCCATTTTCAGACCCACCTATCTATCAAAGCCTTTCAACCCTGCTAGAAGAAAAAGGAACACGACTATAAAGTTTGGACAAAGGAAAATAAAGAACAAAGACGAGATTTTGCAAAAATTCGGGGAGAGTCTGATTCTCCACCATAAAAATCAAGGGGGGTTTTGCTATAGACCTAAAGGGCCTAAGATCAAGGCCTGAGATGCCAGATCTGCATTTGATTGTCCCAAGAGTTACATATACCATAGGTCTTAAAATGAAAAGCCCAGAAATATCAACACTCTTAACAGACCAAATGCCAGGCTCTATTTTGGCACTACTTCACTTGCCTTCCTCTTCTTGTGTGCTGTGGAATCTCCAGGGTGGCTATTTTAAAATCTGGTTTAGATAATTATTTTCAATTGTGTTTACTTCTTTGAACTCTTGCATTTTTCTCTTGGGCCTTACTTGTATGAGTGGGTGTTTCCCTCTGATTTCTGGGGGGTGATTAGGAACACGCCCAAGCAACTGCTCAGTTAGTGGACAAACCACAGCTAGGATGCAGGATTAGTTTCTCCTTTCAATTACAATATTCACATCCAACACTGACAGATCAAGGAAATTTCAGAGTAGAGACAATACGTCCAAAGCATGCATCCCCGCACATTTTGTTAATCAAAAATCTATGTGAGAGGTGGGAAGAATGTTTATTGTTCTAATACCTGCAGGCCCACTAAGAATCAGGACTCCACTGTGCTGCGAGCTGTACAAACACATAGTAAAAGACAGCCCTTCAGGACAGGGTCTGCCAACTTTAGGTTTCAATCCCATACATGGTTTTTGCACATGCTTAACTCTACTCTGTCTTTTGGGAAATCCAACTGACATCCTGCTCCGGAAAGAGAACATTAATAGGCATCCAAGCAGAAATCTGCTCATTTGCATGAATCAGCATAATTTAAGCAGGATGCAGCAAGTGGGGTGACACAAGCAGTGAGAGAGAAGGAGTAATGAAAGATAAGGGTAACAGCAAGAACTGATGATTAACCAGATATAGCTCTGTAGACACATGGGGTACGTCTACACAGCAGTGTTATTTTGGAATAACTGACGTTATTCTGAAATAACATAGTCCGCGTCTACACTACAAGCAATTATTTTGACATAATGTCAAAATAATGTCAAGTCGGAGGACTTCTTACTCTGACTCTTGTAACCTTCATTTTACAAGGAGTAAGGGAAGTCAGAGGAAGAGTGTTCTTTGTCGGACTTCTTGCTGTATAGACAGCAATAAGCTCTTTCGAATTAAGCTACGCAATTGACGTAGCTGAAGTTGTGTAGCTTATTTAGGCTTTAGCTCTGCTGTGTAAATGTGCCCTCAGTTTTTTATCACCCAATAATCTTGGAGGTCAACAAATATAAGTATTAGCCATCCCTATGCAGTGCTTTAGTAGCAACATACATGAAAAATATCCTTCAACAGATTAACATGTTACTCAGCCAACATTTCAAAACAAACTTTTAGTTTGCAAAATACTGAATCCACATCTGTACTAGAGCTGGGTAAGAAATGCATTTAACTGTCTCAAATACTTTAACATTTGAGATTTTGAATAGGGATGTGAAACTGTAACCGTATACATGGGTTAACTGATGCGCCTGGGCTTATTGATTAACCTCCACAGTTAAGCTTATGCCCAAATAAATCTGCTAGTCTTTAAGGTGCCACAGGACTCCTCATTGTCTTTGAAATCATTATATTTAAGAGACACCCAATTTTTTAACCCCATGTCATTCTGCCAGCTCTCCTGGGAATGGATTATATTGGCATATTTAGCATTCAGCATGGAACACTGCAACAGTGAAACTCATAAACCAGAAAACTACAGTTTGATGCAGAACTTGTGGATAATGTTATAAAGTTGCAAGAGCACTCTAGAAATTCTTTCATGGACCATGGCCCTGTTGCGGTATGCACTGCACAAATACATAATTAAGTGAAGGTCCCTGTCCCAAAAATGTCACAATCTAAGAAATGTCTTACTTAGTATAGTATTTACTT